ATTTTAAAATCTATCAAATAAGTAAATAAAACATTAGTTAATAAAACAGTGTCGTGTGGAAAATTAAAAAAATTAAAAAGGGGCATTTTTTTTGGCGGAAATAACATTGTGTGATAAATGATACAGATATAAATTGTCTTTGTTTTTTTTAAGATCTTAAGATCATAATTTGAGGTCAAACGTTCTACATTAATCAACAGTCTTCTTGAAGAACTTGATAAATATACTTGGCAAAATAAGGCAGCTGAAAAGCTAAACATAATTTTTAGAATCAGTGTGAAAGTGAACCAGTTTACCAGGTTTCGTTTTTTGACTGACGAAGGCAGCTGAATTAAAATTCAAAATGATGAAAAAGCCTATAAACCTATATATATAAAATCCCAGAGAATAAAATTTTGAAGATATTAAATCCCGATGTAATAACCTCTTCAATTTTAACTTCAGAAGGCCTTAGCAAATAAATAGGTCAGATAAAACCCTTTCAATCGGGGAAATTCCTCGGGATGCGGGATTTTGAATATTATAAAAACCCTCTGGCCGTGTTTTATCCCTTCCGAACAATAGTCATTAGATGTGCTGGATATGGATAATATCCATTCTAATCATGTTTTTGCTATTGAGTGAAATTGCCATTGCCGACCAATATTTTATATTATAAAACTTTTTCAATAATAATTGGGAACATATCAGTTGGGATTATTTGGATACCAAATACTACATACAGGAGTGAATGTAATATCGAACAATAACATTGCCTGAAATATTTCAGCGGTTCTTTAGAACATGATTTCACACGGTGCTAATTTAGTGTAACATAAAAGTTTTTAATTATTAAAAGGGAGGGAAAAATCACCTCTAAATATATTAATATATATCATTAAAAATAATGAGCTGTTGGTGTTATTCTGGTCTACGTTTGTGTAACGTTTATGGACAAAATAAAACGTTTTAGTGGTCGAAAAACCAAACACCCTTATTGGCACATCGTGTTTTTAGCGTAGGACAGCAGCTCGGCAATTTTCAGACCTATAGCTCCTTTTCACAAATGATACTTTGACAAGACTTATACATTAATTATGTGATTAACTTATTCCAACAGGCCCAGAGTAGGCTACTCTTGGGGCTTCAGTGAAAAAATCGACGTCTGCCTTGCCAGTTTCATCCTTCCTCCAAGATATATAGAATCAACACCATCTGCGAATCATGGAATGTCGGTTTTCAGCAGTAAGTGGACCACAGCCACCCTTCTGTGTGAATTCCGACAGTCTGATTGCAACACTTCAGATTGTTCAGGATCAGCAATTAAAAGGTCATTAAAAATATGGTGATCTCTATTTAAATGTATAACAATGTTTATGAATGTCTTGTTCCATTTCTTTGTTGAGCAATCGTCCGGTGAGCTACTATCCGGTGAGCAACTGCCCGTACCCAAGTATTTCATAGACTGCATGACATCAAAGATGATATTTAGAAAGACCGCAATAAAAACAGAAATAGATATTTTTAAGTTGAAGGTATTGGTGTACCAAATTAAGGACTGGATGATCCTATTTTATCGAACACAGTATTTCCTATTTTAGACTTTGTCAACAAGTCGAATAACTTTCGGGTATCCCAATTTTCAGATAATATAATCTGTATTCATGGTTTGAGATTTTTTTGAAGGAACACTAATTGTGAAGATTATTAACATATATTGAAGTCCCAAATCAACCCTTTGAACATAGTGAACCATGACCTTTACGGCTAATTCCTCTATTACGAGACAGAATTAAAGTAATACTTATACAGTTATACAGTTAATAGATCAGTTTGATTCCCTATTTCTGTATCTGACACGGCTCAGACATTTTGCTAAAGTTCACTGTCACAACATAATTTGCTGCACTTAAAACTGATTGCAATTCATCTTTGTGTCACTGGGCTGTTTTAATGCCCAGTGTCTTAATTATGTAGTGATACATAAACGGAATGACGACACGGTGAAATTTCTTAAACGATTGACTACAAGAAACAAGAAGGTAAATTATCACTATGCTTATGTTACTGTTGAAAAGAATTACTTTGGGTTAAAAATGCAAATCTGCGTGTTTCGTTTCGTGTTTAATTTTCCGCTGGTGATTTAGATTGAGTTGCTCGAAATGCGAAGTCGTAATATGATTAACGTGTTAAATATTTCAAATACATGTAACAGTCACACCTGTTTGTTCTTTATCAAAGGTCTCTGAACGATCCATGCCTAACTAATACAACATATGTAACTAATATTGAATTCCCCAGGAATTAATTGGGCGCAAAATTACCTTTGTATCTTCTTGGATAACTTTCATTTTACATCATGCCACGTATATTTTCACATAATTAACAGATGTCTCAGAATGCATGAGAGTATGTTTGTGTTTAAAAAAAATCCCATAGACGAGCCCTAATCCGCTTTCGTCCTCTAGTTGAGTCACAGTTTATAGCATGAGGCATTAGATTCAAACGTGCTCTATAGTGGGTTTAATGGTGTCTTGGTATTTTCGGTTTGCTCAACCAACGCCAAATAACTGCTGGAATTTTTGACATTAGACTTTGATGGCATTAGACTAATTGTGAAATAGAATAAATAATTCTTTAATCCAGTATGCTTATCGAGGAAATTGTATTCTTTGATTCTTTGATTTGACCCATAAGCAAATCAATCTGTTCCATAATTAAAGTATGTAAATGAAACAGGTGTTTAAATGATAAATAATCTTATTTGTTCTTACCTGCCAAGATTGGTAAATTTGTCCAAAATATTCAAACCTCAGTTATATCATTTGTAAGTATCTACATTGAATATACAAGGCACGGTTTTGTTGTTACGTTAGCACTTATATCATCAGAAGACTATAAACAGTTCTGAAAACCATTCCAATACTGTCACGCAATAATCATTCACATTACGTTCAATAACAGTTAAATTGTCGATTATGTTTTCCTAATATTTACGAAGTCTCGAAAGACAATAAACTTCTTTCATGACATCCAAGTTGATATTAGTTACTTAAAGGTTATTTCTATTTACCACTCAACACTTTCAATACGGAAGTTTAACACTTTGATCATACAGCCAGACATTCAAAGTGAGATTTTTGACAATTATGTTTCTGACTAATCGACAATCACAGGTGAAAAGAAAATACACAGACGACTCAGTCCCTGGGGTTTACTTTTAAGCCATAACATCAAACTTGTCATCCAAGATCAAATTATTTTGAATAGTGGTTCCGGCTTAAAAGTTGGCGAATTGACAAATCCACTCAGAGGACATGGATTTATTAGTCCCACTCATTCTTTACCCTTCTTATCCCCTGTCAGTGAATCAGGTCTAGTCGTTCGGATGAGACAATAAACCGTGTGCTACAGACTGTACACTAAAGATCCCTCGATAGTAAGAAATCGAAAAGAGTAAACTATAGTCACGATCCCGGCAAAATTCCCCACATTGCACACTGCATGGCGTGACCCGTCCTCATTAGCCCATAAGAAGGACGTAAAACTTCATTCATTTCATTTTCTTAATCTGTTGTTATAAACACAAATGATAATCTGTATGAGCCATGTCAAGAATCGTATATTAATACTAAATAATGTTGACAAGAAGACTTAATGCAGTCAAAATGACCTAAGTGGTTACTAAATAAGTAACTGTACTCTTCCATATCTAAAGTCTGAACAGATGTATTTATCTGAATAGTAAGTGCCAGCAGAGAACGTGACAATATAATGCCTTAAAAGGGTGTTAATAGGGTGAATTCGATGGAACCGTTAAAATTGGGAGCTTAATAAACAACAGTATGAAATGTGATTCTGTTGTTGTTCCTGACTAGAATTAAATTAATGGTATTACAAAATCATCTTTTAATTTGAAGAGTTTTGCTGTTCAATCTTTTATTTATTGTCGTGTCTCTCGACTGAATACGCCGATTCACTTTAAACATCTTCGCGCCTACCATTTTGTATACTCTTCTCTCTTTTTTCCTAGGGGAATTTGGCTTTTTTAATTCTTCTTGATCGATTGAGAAATAGAAAAATAAGGTTGATGATCATTTCATTAGAAATTGATGCCATGTTTTTAACGGATTGATCTGAGTAGATGTAAATATATTTATACTTGTCCTAGTTTCGAGATTGTTTTTTCTGTGGATGTAATGACTGTTAACACAATTTAACAAATAGCACAAGATATTTTATGTATGAGTATTTGTAATTATTAAGCAAAATAAATATTAAACTATCGTTTATCGTTTTATGTATACCACTAGTTGTTTATACTATTTTATCAAATGTATGTTTATACTATACGGAAATCGTCGTAATTGTTATATATTATTATTATTATTATTAATATTATATTATTTGTCATCTCAATTTCTTCTAACCTTCAGGAATCTTCCTCTTGGAATCTGAAACTTCGACATGGCACAATATTTGTTTACAAGTTTCTTTCGTTCCTCATATCGTTTTTCATATATACGTTAGAAATCTTGGCAAATAATGATAAATATAACACAGATGAAACATGTACAACAGATGGCCTAAATTCCTGTATTCTTCAGTGAAAGCATCATATTAAATAACACAATTATATGTGAAACATACATTTTATGAAATAAATTGATTTTATGAACAATTGATGTTCATCGAAAACATAATACAACTCTGATATTCATTTACATTTTATAACCATTAGCCATAATTACTATTGCTAGTAAAATACAGTGGAAACTGACTATATGCAATATATACTGTATTATTGGTTATACAACCCCTGAAACTACAGCAAAGTCTATCTGATGCTATAACTCCGGTGTCTACCTGAATTGGAAAGTAAGTGAATTTCCAGTGTCTGAAAAATTCAAGACAAACATCAAACTGGGCCAAAGACACATTGATAATGGTTACGTATTGTACAGGTCTAAATGACACCCGAACGCACGCACGTGCATTTCGTATCATATGAACTGACAAAGCAAGTATAACAATATTTGTTACAATTTGATCTTGACTGATAATTGCCCGCAGGTTGTTATTTTGAGGAAAATGTTGTTTAATTTCACCATCGACAAGGTATTAAGTTATTGTATTATTTGTTATTAAGAGCTGCGTGTTGTTTGTACAGTTGACTTTGACATGTTATTTTATAACTTCAATCAAACCAAGTGCTATTTCGACATTGTAGCTGACTTCACTGTTGTTGTTGATATTATCAGTAAAGTACAAGTTTCCTGTACAAAACACATTTTTATGAGAAATAACCATGAAAGTAAACACACTAATACAATGAAATATCCCATGATTACCGTGGCCCATTGGGGATATTTGCAATTTTTTTATTTTTCGACGTTTCTCAGTGGTTTGAGAGCAGAAGAACTGCAGAAAACAGGAATTGAAATTGGGAAAATTCGAGAAACCGACAAAAAATAGAAGGAATGGAGGGAAATAGAGAAACTTTAATTAGAAAGATGACACAAAATACATAAAAATCACAAAAATTCATAAAAACAATAATTAATCAAAATCGTAAAAATAGTTAAAACATGAAAAATTAAATTTTCCAAAATATTATGAAAAACACAAAAAATTCAAAGTGAAATCGCAAAAATTATTTACCACCACGGTTGAAATTATTTACCACCACGGTTGAAATTAATTACCACCGCGGTTGAAATTATTTCAACCGCGGTGTCAAATAATTTCAACCGCGGTGGTAATTAATTTCAACCGTGGTGGTAATACATTTCAACCGCGGTTGAAATTAATTTTTGCGATTTCACTTTGAATTTTTTGTGTTTTTCATAATATTTTGGAAAAAATTAATTTTTCATGTTTTCACTGTTTTTACGATTTTGTGTACTCATTCTGTGCCCTATTATTCTCAATGGATCTTTTTATACGCCCACACATTAATGTGGGCCGTATATAGTCGTCGCCCCTGTCTGTCTGTCTGCGTCTGTCTGTACAATTGCTTGTTGACACGATAGAGAGCTGGGTTCTTGATGGATGCAACTTGGTGTGGGTCTTTGTAATCACTCAAGGATGAACCCTTTTGAAAATCAGACCAAGCGAAAAAAAATTACTAAAGTAAAGTAAAGTTGTAATTACAAGTTTATAAAGTTGTAATTACAAGTTTTTAAAGATGTAATTACAAGTTGTAAAGGTGTAATTACAAGTTGTAAAGGTGTAATTACAAGTTGTAAAGGTGTAATAACAAGTTGTAAAGGTGTAATAACAAGTTTCTAAAGGTGTAATTACAAGTTGTAAAGATGTAATTACAAGTTTGTAAAGTTGTAATTACAAGTTTATAAAGGTGTTATCTGTTACTACCCCCCTGTCACTATACACTCTTTGCCACAATACTATCTTACTACACTATCCGTCGCTATACACCCTATTACTATACTCCATGTCACTACACTCGCTGGCACTACACTCTCTGCCACTACACTTTCTGTTACTACACATTCTGCCACTGCATCTACACTCTGTCACTACTCTCCGTGTCTCTACAGTCTCTGCCACAACACTATCTAACTACACTCTCACTACACTCTGTCACTGCACAATCTCTCACTACACACTCTGTTACATGTACTACAATCTCTGTAACTTGACTCTGTCACTACACCTTTTGTAACTACAAATACACCCACTCTCTACTCTCTGTCACTACAAACCATGTATCTACCCACACTGTCACTACACTCCGTGTATCTACACACTCTGTCACTACACTCCATAATTACAACTGTACAAACTAGTAATTACACCTTTACAACTTGTAATTACACCTTTAGAAACTTGTAATTACACCTTTATAAGCTTGTAATTACAACTTTATAAACTTGTTATTACAACTTTACAAACTTGTAATTACACCTTTAGAAACTTGTTATTACACCTTTACAACTTGTTATTACACCTTTACAACTTGTAATTACACCTTTACAACTTGTAATTACAACTTTAAAATAAAAAATATTATCAATGAATTTGGCCCTAATAGGCTTTCGTAGTACGCACTCTATGTTGACATTTAAATACATACCAAAATTTAAAAATAGCGATGCCCCAACGTAATACGCCCACTTTTGTAATGGCAGCCAAGTCGTCCGGGAGGTCGACAAGAACTATCAGTAAATGAAACATCTGTCGAAAACCGTGCCATCAAGAATGTTTACAAAATTGAACGATTTTTGAGTGTTTACAACTACAAGTTAAAAATTGAACGCGTTTTCAAAAACAAGGGCATCAATTCATATAAAATAATGTTTGATTGTTTTCATTTTGGATAGGGTTCATCATTGGATGATATTAAACAATTTCACCAAGTGTCATCAAAATCCATCAAGAATTGTGCCTCCTAGAGTGTTTACAAACTAAAAATTAAACGCAATCTCAAGAAAAAGGGCAATAACTCATATAAAATAATTTTCGATTATTCTAATTTTGGACAGGATTCAACCTTGGGTGATAATAAACAATTTCACCAAGTTTCATAAAAATCCATCAAGAATTGTGCCTTCCAGAGTGTTTACAAACTAAAAATTGAACGGGTTCTGAAGAACAAGGGCAATAACTCATATCAAATATTTTCCGATTTGTCTGATTTTCAATTGGGTTCATCCTTGCATGGTTACAAACACTCACACCAAGTTTCGTCAAAATCCATCAAGAAACCAGCTCTCTATCGTGTCCACAATGAATTCAAGAGCAAGGGCAATAACTCATAATAAATATTTTTCGATTGGTCTGATTTTCAATAGGGTTCATCCTGAAGTGATTACAAACACTCACACCAAGTTTCGTCCAAATCCATCCAGAAACCAGCTCTCTATCGTGTCCACAAACAATTCAAGAACAAGGGCAATAACTCATAGTAATTTTTTTTCGCTTGGTCTGATTTTCAAAAAGGTTCATCCTTGAGTGATTATAAACACTCACACCAAGTTTCGTGGAAATCCATCAAGAAAACCAGCTCTCTTACATGCCCACAAACAATTCAAGAACAAGGGCAATAACTCATAGTAAATATTTTTCGATTCGTTTGATTTTCAATAGGCTTCATCCCACACCAAGTTGCATCCATCAAGAACCCAGCTCTCTATCGTGTCAACAAACAATTGTGAACAGACAGACAGACAGACAGGGGCGACGACTATATACGCTCCACATTAATGTGTGGGCGTATAAAAAGATCCATTGAGAATGATAGGGCACAGAATGAGTACACAAAATCGTAAAAATAGTGAAAACATGAAAAATTAATTTTTTCCAAAAAATGTTGAAAAAATGTTGAAATGTATTACCACCACGGTTGAAATTAATAACCGCGGTTGAAATTATTTCAACCGCGGTGGTAAATAATTTCAACCGCGGTGGAAAATATTTTTTGCGATTTCACTTTGAATTTTTTGTGTTTTTCATAATATTTTGGAAAATTTAATTTTTCATGTTTTAACTATTTTTACGATTTTGATTAATTATTGTTTTTATGAATTTTTGTGATTTTTATGTATTTTGTGTCATCTTTCTAATTAAAGTTTCTCTATTTCCCTCCATTCCTTCTATTTTTTGTCGGTTTCTCGAATTTTCACAATTTCAATTCCTGTTTTCTGCAGTTCTTCTGCTCTCAAACCACTGAGAAACGTCGAAAAATAAAAAAATTGCAAATGTCCCCAATGGGCCACGGTACATGATAGTTTAAGACAAATATTCTTGACTCAGATGCAGTCGAATTCATCCCAGACTATGAATTTCTTCACAGTATTTTTATGATGTAGATGTTTGAAGATTTTGGAGAAAGAAAAAAAAAACACACCCTTCTCCAGAAACTGAAACTAAAAAGAACCCAGAATCTTTTGGCAGATTACTTTTTTCAATGCATGGACCAATCCAGTGTAAGACTGTCAATATCTCACAAATTTTCTGTGTGGTCTGATATACATATCCATATTTTCAGCAAGTAAAACAACAATGGTCACATCATCTGGTATTAGCCATCCTGATTCAGGTAGGTCATCAAGCATCACGAATAAGATGTTACCTACTCCTTGACCACTATGATGTGTTAATCAAATTAAGGAGGGGTATGCTTATTCCACTGATACCACTTTTCATTATGAAATACTTACTCACTTATCATTGAAATACTTCCTCATGTGAAAAGTTCATTAGCTGCTACCCATATTTTGTCAATATGTTGTTACAGATTTCGTCAGTACTTGGTTTGTTTATTTGTCATTTTGTATTGTAGATGGTAACAGTAGCACAATCATTTCCAGAAAATTCCGTATTGCAAAGTAAGTCTATAAGCCAAATTGCGTTTTCATAAGAATAGGAATGACAATAGAAACGATTCATATGTTGAAACCAGATTAATGCCCATTATTTGTAATGTTAAAGCACGACACCAAAATTTGAACCATTGAAATTTCTTCGAGTTGGGTTTATTAAATAAGACTTTGCCATTTGAAATTATTTAAGAGAAATTCTTTATGGATCAGTAATGGATTTTAAATGTGAAATATTCATCCTCTGTTATACAAGTTTTTGATCATGACAACTCTATAAAAGGACGAAAATTTATTTTTCTTACAGTAACAGCTGACTGTTCTTCACTAAATGATAATGCACCAGTTATAACTGTGATATCAGATCTGAATATATCGCCTTCAGCGTGGTGTGTAAACTCAGAGGTCCCAGTGTCCTTCACTACTGATGATGATGTTCACTATAAACTACGCGGTACTTTTACAGTTACAACCAACACCAGCATTTGTCAATTCTATGTAAGTGTGGTGTTGTGTCATATTTACAACCCCTCTTCGCACCTTTCTTTGGTTGTATACAAATACATCTTTTTCCTTTAGATTGCCACATTGTTTTTGGTCAAACATAATTTTTAAGGGTTTGAAAGTGTTCATCGTAATATTTTGCTGAATCAAGATAAACGTACAACAAACCGACTCTCGCAACTGTCGGTATCCAATTTGTAAATACTTTTTTGACAGAAACGAAACAACGTAGACATATACGCAATAAAAATTATCGTTCCGTGGGGTGAAGACAATAGTCATGTACACACACATAAAGAAAAGAAAGTGGTAACGTGTGTTTTTGGTGATTATGGTACAGAACAAACCGAGGAAACGGACCTAAGGAAAAGGTAAGCCTATGAGTATTGAATTGGGTTTTACAAGTCGAACATTATAACTTGTTATTCTAAATACATAGAATTCACATCTCATGGGGTATACGGTTAACTATATTATCTTTAGTAATTAAAGCTTCATAATGATATGACCATTACAATGCTTTAATATGCTTGTCTGAAAGTTATACATGTTAATTGAATTAATGAAGTGTGCTTGCTATTGTTAATCCAATGTATGGATATTATGATGTTTGGTATTCTTGTTAAATAGAAATATAACAACCATGAAAACATGTTAAGAATTATTTAGTACTTCCTGGTGTTCATAAGTTCAATAATATTACCATAAATGCATTCCATGCATTCGCTTGCTCGATAACCTTAGTGTCAATCCAGGTATATGGCAGCATAATAACTACAAAGTTTTCAACCCGAGTCCCCCTTGCCAGTGATGCAGGTTACATAGAATGGCATTACAAAACCAGATGAGAAAAAACCGGCTTTTCCACTTCAATAATAATAAAGAGCATACGAGTTCTTTTGACCTGGCAAAATTGCACTCAAGATGACGATATTATTGAAATATTAAGTTTGATTTTAGGACTTGAGATACTTGAATGCATTTTAAAAAAGTATCACTATCACGACAGCCAAGTCTATTTGTCAAAGTTAAGAACAATATATTAAGAACAATATATTATACACTAGATCTCTATTTCTTTCTCTAGTGACATGGCGCCTAAACAAATTATGGTAAATACTGGTAATAAACTAGCAGATGGAGAGTTTGATTTAGAAGTTATCAATGTTTTAAGAGAACCTTATGTTGGTGCTATTCCACAGGGCAGAAAGGTCGCTTTAAAGGCAACTGCTACAAATGGTAAAGATTCATTCTTGACCAGATTCACTTATTTTGAGTGTGCAGTTTCTTATCACAAACCCATAAGACAATATAGAATTAAAACATTTCAGTTTCTAAATTTTCTCGTCATCATAGATTACTTCTTCTTCAAAAATTGAATGTAAACCGGAAATGAGCCCTTACCATTTATGTGGGCACGGATAATATATGGCAGGAATTAGCCAAATCATAAAAAAAAGTAAAGTAAGTTGAAGACATTTTACTTTATTGAAATTTGACTCGTGCGTTTTGGGTTGTTTTGTTCTGGTTTAATACAGATAGTGGCTTGGATCACTAGTGTAAAATGATGTTATATGACGGAACCTGATTTGTATCTTGCTCTGTTACAGCCGCGGGGTTACATGTGATTGGATGTGAAGCTAAACCTAGCAGTGATTCAAGTATCGGTTACTCCATTATCAGAGCTGGGTATGTTTTTTGAAAATGTTTCATAATATTGTCAAACTTTAGATATTTATAATCTGAAAAGTATACAAAATATGTAAATAAGCCGAAGTAAAGATACACTATATATATATAGATATACTATTTCTGATTTTATCCCATGAATATTTGTTTTTGTTGTGTTCTCTTCAGATGCGGAGATGGTCGTATAATAAAGAATGATAGAGGATTTGTGACGACAGGAGCAGTAGCAATCAGTCCTTTCTTTGAAATGTTTCAAATGGATTTCTATACAACCATACAATTTCACTGTAACGTGACTGCATGCGATGAAGAGTGTAATGGGGTAAGTACGGAAACGTGCTATTGCTAAAGGCAATGATATGACAGAGGAAGTCTTATTAGGAATCTACTTGCGAGATCATCAACAATCTTTATTTCGCATTTTTGGTCTAATGATGCCGATTGCAGAAACCAAAACGCATAAGACTTTCCTAAGTTCAGCCTGATTGAAAATGATGTGTATGTATAATATATGAAAATTCTTAAAGTTTTAACTTTTTAGAATTCATGTGCACTGGTTGCATCACGAAGAAAAAGAGCAACAGGTATGTGATATGTTTTCATTTTGTAACGGACATGGTTGTCTCCCTTTACATGAAGAAACTATTTATTTTACGCCTTTATTATATTCTAGTGCATGATGTTGGAAGGCCTGATTTTATAAATAAGATAGCCTATGTTAGAATCAGGCCTAAAATATCTAACAGTTTTATGTCGGATCTTAAAAAGCGGAAGTCAAAGTTGTATTTATACCGATATTTAAGTCTCTCGCCTGCTTGTGCACCGATTCCATAAAATGCGTCGAATTTAACCTTTATGATGGACTATTTCAGATGTACAAGTCGTCACTGTGAAAAGTAATGATGTTAAGATAATATCTGATAAAGAAAATTAAAATATGCCTCTTAAGTTGTTCATTTCATTCTCATCGTTCCTGTAATATGCTACAATGTTTAACTATTTACTATAGTGACCCCCCATCCATTGGATATGTGTCCTTGCAACCTCAGATAATGGTAAAATGCACCGATTATATGACGAAATAAACTAAATTTGTTGGTCAATTCCAAAGCTTATTCTTAATTAGTTAAAAGTTTAAAGGTTGTAAAATCTGAGATAATACGAAACTCAAGAGTACTTTCCCTTTATTTGTAATCTAAGTATCTGCCGACATGTACATGGTTTCTTAAAGAACTTCTGTATATGCATTTAGAACCTTCATTGGACCAATGAGTTATTTAATGAGGAGGTGATGTATATGGGCATGGATCATTACTGCTGGATTTATTAATAGTAACCTTTATTGAAGAATAGTACATTTCATATTTAAGCAGAGAAAAACGCCTTCCAGTTATAATCATATTCAAATTTGGAGATAAATCCATCACCTATAATATAATAAATAGTTATTAATATAATACATGTAAAATATCGTGAGGTACATTAAATGCTGCAGAGCAAGTACCCTTTATATTTCAATTTTGATCAAAAGGAAGGATAGTTAATAAATAGTGTAGTGTATTTGTCTTAATAGCTTGCTCAGTTGTGATAAGGCTCTACATTTAGCCCTTCCCCTTTCTCTTGGTCTTATTTATGCAGCATGTCAAGTCTACAAGAAGTTCTTTTCTAATTGCATTACCAAAAGCACTGAACTTTCCAGGATAATTTAAAATTAAATGCATCCAGATTGAATGTTTCAACTGTCATTTATATCTCTATCTAAAAATAGTGTTTGTTGAATAAGTTCTAGTATTTGGCATGTAGGGGCTCTACCTAGTGGCACTCTGCAACGTTGATTTCTGTTTCTTTTAAGTTAATACTTCAGCTAAATAGACGCCGAGTTACATCAAGCAGAAAATAAGGTTTGATATATAGCTTACCATCGTCATCAAAGAAGAAGCAAATTTGTTGAACTTCGGCTGAGTCAATTTCTTTATTAAAATTTTTGTCCAGTTCCTCGAAGAAAATTGGTGCATGTTCCTTGTGGTCTAAATCTAAGAACGTCCATTTTAGTTCAAATTCTATTTTGGAAATATAGTTATTTTCTGCAAAGATAACAATCGGCATGTTTCAGAGATAAAATGCCATCCATCCGTTTGACTTTACAGAATAAGAATGGTGTCCGGTTCTCTGGCAATTTAGACTGTAAAATATTGTCATTTAGTACAAGTGACGTCAGGATATTAGAAAAATCACACATATAATGAACGAACTGGAAGTCTAAACTGACTATTAAATGTGTCCACCAAAATTGGCAATATTATGATCATACTTGAAAACCTTAAAATTCAACTTACTATCTGCATCAAATATTGCCCATAGATTACGACATTCTGTTCTCGATAGAAAGGTATCATTGCTAACGTCTGATTGATAAAATAAATCTTCATATGGTTTAGTTGCCGCTAAAGTTGAGGGCCTGAAATTATTTATTAGAATGTGATGGGGAAAAAATCACTAATTATATTCCGAATCGATGGATTCATTCTACAAAATGAATGTTTTTTGCTCTTGTCTTGACACCATATTGTGAAACTAACTTAATCATATTGTCATATAAAGGTAATTTAAGAATATTGGAACTTATCAGGACGGGTAACAAGCAGGCTCGCTAGCACTCGCTTCAAATGTTGGATACTGACAATGAATAGAAAATATTTTCGGATTTTTACTGTCCTGAAAAAAATTACTTTTGCATGGCGTATTTGTATTGGCCTAAAAATCCCCAAAAATGAAACTTCTATTTTCAATGCTGGCGTAATTATAATAGCTGCTAGCTCTGTGTAAGTGACACCAATTTCATGATCACACACAATCACCCGAGGGAAATGTTAAAGAAATGATTTTATGACATTGAAAGCAGCCTACCATTTGTGAACAAGAAATTAAAACTCTTAAATTTGGCAAAAAGCCTTGAATTATTAACGCAATAAAAACTTCATTGTAATTATTGCAATACCAAGTATTGGCAATTTAAGTTTATAGCCAATAATATTGTCTATATGTTTGTGCTCATTCTCATGAATGCTAATACCCATTTGAACTAATATTTTTCCCGTTAGTGCAACTGGCTTGCACAATTCGGTCTTTCCAGTTAAAGCTACTGATCAAGATAAAAAAAAAACGAAAAGCAGATGCTTATTTACATATTGCATATCTACACTTTAACTAAATCAATTTCAAATTTAGTTGAAAGAAAGTGTACTTGATCCACTGTAATATATAGCAAACAAACTAAGAACTCTAAAAGATTTGATAATCCTTTCTTCTTAAATAGAAAATATCTCTATCGTTTACTGCCACTCCTAATCCCTAATTAGTTGTTGCTATTGTTATATTTTTTTTTGTTTTTTTTTTGTGTGTATATATATAACTTCTTGTACCATATTTCCTACCATTCGGCTACCAATCAACAAAAAATACCATGATCAGAACGAGTTTGGAAGAATGAAGGAGATCGAGTAACTCACGCTACACCATCCAGGGCCGAGTTTCACCGCCATGTCATTCGACCCGACCAGATCTAACGAAGAATCAGCAACCAAACCAACAACACAGAATCATCCAATTTGAACCAATCCAACTACCAACTACTACGACTATCAACAACTACCGAGTTTGCGATATCAGCATCCGCTGGAAGCGAACGTTAACTTGTCATCTACCTACCTACCCATATTTCCTCACTTCACCTGAAGATGACAATGTAGATTGTTGAAACGTCGTGTGTAATAAAACTAAGGAGTAGTATACCATTGAATTGTGTTCCGTTATTTACTGTAAGCTCTACCCCTAATGATTAAAATATCTCCAAAGTGCAGCATACCTGTATTATGTATTAGACATTTGTAGTTTTGAGTTCTAATTAAGATATTAAAAAAATTCCAACGGATAAATAACTTGCAAATTCAGTGCTCTAAATGGAGGTATGTTTCAAATTTGAAAGTAAAACTTTTTCGAAAAAAATAAATAAATTTTTATAAGGGTTACTAATCAGATTAATCTGTTCTCCAGGTAACTGATTTGACATCAAGGTGTGAATGTTCGAACCATCAAATTCGTTATCAAAGTTGTATAACACGCTGTCAATCATTTTGTCAAGTTAGGATTTTATGAAATAAAACAATATTTTCAGTTCTTTTTTTTTAATTTGTCCAAATTTAATGATTTTAATTTTTATAGCAAACCATCTATGTCACATATCGTTAAAGAGAAAATTACGGATGCATTCTAACAATGTAAACCACATTGGTATTACAAAGATAATTTTAAGGCCATTAATAATCTGAAACAATCAAGACCCTGTGTTTATTAGAGAATCTGGTATAGTCGTCCAAAGTTGCAAAATGTCATAAGGTTTTGACAGACTCCAAAATCAAAAAACAAAATCTGATAATAAATGACGAACACATTAAAATTTTAACGAAAATGGGCCACTCCCTGGTTTCAGCCCATTTAAAACAAAGAATACTTAACAATTTTAAGTTTGTGCCAAACAATCGATAGCATAACAAACCATGTCAAATAGATTTATCTGCAAATAGCAGGGGATAACTCATTTTTATACGCCAACATTATAATGTGGTTGTATATTGTCGTCACCCTTGTCCGCCCGTCCGTCGGTCCGTCCATCCTCTATTGGCTTGTGAACGCAATAGAGGAAACAGTTATTATTTGATCTTAATGAAACTTGGTGTGATCATTTATATTCACGAGATCTTGGACAAGTTCGAATTTGGCTATCTTTCGATGAATGGTTTTTAAGTTATTGCCCTTGATTTATGAAAAACGCGTCAAAATTTGTTTGTGAACACAACAGAGAGTACAGTTTTCATCCGATTTAAATGAAATTTGGTATGATCATTTATAATGATGAGATCTTAGTTAAGATTAGAAGTGACAATTTATGTCAGAATTTTATTAAATAATAATTATGTGTTTGTTTAAATCAACAACATCTTGCACAAATTAGATTTTTGGTATGATTTGACACGGATAGGTGACTGCCCTTGATATACTGAAAATGTATCGTGAGGCAACCACTTGTACCCCGTGGTACAGTGCTCGCTTTTCAAAAGTGACCTGTTTGTTTCTCTACAGTTTCAATACTGTTGGAAAAGTGTCCACAACTTTGATGAAGTATATAATACTCAATAATAAGACAACAATAATAAATCTCACCAGAAAGCCATTGAAATAAAAACCAATGAGGTTATGTACATCCAGTTACCCATGTTTAATGTTGTCATCGATCTAGAATATTTGGTGAACATATGCTTGTGTTCCCATTCGGTATATTATCTATAACTTATCTACATTATTTAAGATATTTAAAACCGTTTTAAAAGTGAAATTTAAAGTGAACTACTCGAACAGTAATAACGAATTGTTATATCAAAAAGTACACAAGACACCATGGATGCTTACAGGTTTTGAAGAAAGCGTTCATATACATTAGCACATGGTAGCCATACCAATGTCCATCAATTCAGTTTTTCAAAGGTGATTTATCACTTGCTATACAATATTAAGAGTGTTATATGTCTTATTTAGCAAGATGGGATATGCCCCACCGATAACGCAATATGTGGCAAAAACGTCACATTGATTTTGACGCCATTTAGATTGTGTCGTTATTAGATGATCCGAGGGGCACTCATTTCTTACAGATTGCTTTTACCAGTGATGTATGCATAAAAAGGGAGATAACTTTTTTTGTTCCTTTTTAGGAGTGAGTGGGGTGTATAGTTGTCATGCAAGATTTCAGATGGTATCCTCCATAAATATTTCTTCTCTTAGCTATAAAATTTAATTCACTTTTCTATCGGAATTATTAGAGAGTGTTCTATTTGTGTATTTTTTTCTGAGTATTTCAATCCAAATTTACTTTGTATGAGCAGAATATATTTGAATTATTAGAAAATTTGAAATAAATTAATAACAGAGCGTGTATTTCTATTACTCGACATTTGTACAATAAAAATTTACATAAATAAATTACAATCCAGTTGTCATTGAAAATAGTATCGATTCTTGGTTGGAACAAAATCACATATATATTAGTACTTAAACTTATCACTAGATTTAAACGGTACTAAAAGAGACGCTAACATGGCTTGGCAACCTTTCAGAAATTATGCCATACTTTTCTCGACCAGTGCTTATCAGTGGCGTTTCTACACTTTCTTGCCCAGGGGGTCAAGAACCATAAAGTAACGTCAGTTGTCATTAGAGAAAGTAGGTGCTTTTCACTTCCTCATTCCGAATTTAGAACTTAAAAATCGTATGTAATTATTAATATATTATATATATTCACTGCTCTGTTTGTTGAATTATTTGTTTATTGACATATCACCAACCCCTATTAATGTGATTATCACGCTGGGTTGTTATTATGCCCATCATGGAACACTGATATCCGCTATGAGGCATTTCATTGACAGGACAGTTTTACATTCTTTCATGTGCAGTGTTGAAAATAGTTCATGATTGTTACCGAAAAAAGATTTGATCACTAAAATTATCTTTTTTTGTTTGATATGAATATTAACTTTGAAATTGCTGAAACAAGGTTACTTGACCCACAAACTTCATATGTCATGTAGGAAATTTTATGGTCTTTATGGAGAACTCCTTTATAGATACTTATATCTGTTTCTGTTTCTTGCTTGTAAGGAATTTTTATTATCTTGCATCTTCACATCCTGACAAGCGACAAAAACATAAAAACTAAAAAACATTTCCCGTAAAGTGCGAATAAAGTCCAGTTACAAAAGAGTTTTAAATCTTGAATGTGTGTCACGGACAGCTTTTTGAATATTCAGTATGGTTTACTATAATACTTGTAATTGTGAAATAGTGTTAAATACGTTTGTAACAGTTAATTAACGTGGACCGAGGTAACAAACGGGCATTTGAAATAGCCATTCATTATATGTGATATTTTCTCATTGGGCCATCCATTTACATTAGCCAGGAATTTATCACGAGTTGACCAATGCAAATTGAGTAATTTTAACTAAAAAAAAACGTGCAATATCCAATAATCTTTTGATTGTCGATTGGCTTCTCAAAAAACTTTAAAGTTGTGTAAATTATCAATAGGAATATAATAACAAACGATTGTTTCAACAACAGTTCTTTTAAGACGATTTCATTCTATGTACATAAAATAACAATAATCATAAAAAGTGGAAGAATAAGTTTGAATTATTATATACAATAAATACAGAAAATATAGAAATAATTTAAAGATCGGGCTTCATTAATGGTTTTATAACTAAAATAACTATGGAAGACACAAAAGCCACGAATAAAAATATCCAGAACAGTAGTCGGTCCATTACATGAGCCACAAACTGCCATTCCTGTACAATATCTTGATGTTCATCTTCTGAATCTTGTCGACCAACTAATACTCTCAAGTGATTAGTCACTTTATCACAGTGGTCGTCCTTCCGTTCATGTGTCCTATCACGTGATAACACCATTCCATTTTGTGGCCTTCCGCCATTACAGTTTCCGGTCTCTATATTTTCCATATACGTTGATAAACACATATCATTACTTTTAATTGTGCGCGTCATAGACATTGTACTGTCAGCAACTGAACGCATGCATACAAATCTGGCTAAAATGTTAAACACGAGGGATTTCATCCATCTTGGAACAGGTTTTTGATGTGGTCCCACATGATGTAATTGTAGCACAAAAACTGTTAATATAATTGACATAGAGGTCATTGCCATAGTAACTGTTAAATATATGCCTGAAATTAGAAATAAAATTGCATGAAAAGCAATATGCTTAACTCAAGAATATTAACTTCAAAACAGTTCGTCTGGTCTTTTCACGAGTCTCAAGGTCGCATAGCTTCTACTTGCCTTACTATGATCTTTTGTTCATTGTCTAAGTTCCTACCATTCGAAAGAGAAAAGGTCAGATCACGACGTTACTACCGTAAGCACATTCCGGCAATACGAAGGATAGAATAAAACATCTTTTGACGCCTTAGAAATATAAAGTTAACCACTATTGCATATCTATATAGTTATAAGCATGATCTAATAGAGCTTTATGTCAGCAACTGATATTGTCCATGATCATAATTCACAAGACACCTTTCCCTTTGACAACCGGATTTCAGGAGCCCATATTTTGTAAAGGTGACTTTAGTTTTTGCTAACCCTCATCGTCATTTCGCCAATGACAACTAATGTCAAAACACCCTGACTAACTGCTGTAATTAGTTTCCAGGTGTGATTAATGTGATATTGGTAATATTAAACTCTGACAATCTCGTTCAGTTGTAACTTGTTTTAACTTTCATTTCAGATATTATTAGTATAAATCCTGTCCTTGATACGATCAATATAGCCAATCACAACATTAATACAAGAGATCAGCCTTTTAGCCCTCATCCTTTTATTTACACATTATCTAGAAATCTCTGTGTCCCTCTGTATAGGTTAGTGTACGAGTGGCAGATTGAGAGATTAAAAGTGCTTAACGAATCGTCTGCCTCCAGCAGTTACACGTCATTCTTTATCAACAATTTGAATTCACCCACCAAAAAACTTTCGTCTGGTAGACGTTTAAATAAATACCTTTCATGGTGTATATCGATTTTCAATTTAAATTGAGAATCCGTTAGTGCCCAGCATGCTGAATAAAAACGTCGTAATGAGAAGATTTCAATTGGAATTCAAAACTTAGTTTATGTCACTTTCTTCCTGCTGAATATCAATCAAAGTGAGAGTCTGTCGACAGTCAAATTGATAGTTTCGCAAATTTACTGCTTTAATTCTCTTTAAATTTCTTAGTTTGCATCTTATGAAATGCCTTATCGGAAATCAAATATTTCCACCGATTATTGCTTGGGTTAGGAATTTTAGGTTGTAATATTGCGGTATTGTATCTGACTTAAGTAATGAGTTACCACGACGTAATGAGAAAATTATACAATCTCTTGATATAATGTTTGTATTTACAAATAGATCAAACACCTATGAATAGACAGACTAACCTTATGCAATTATATCTGTAAATGTGGCAGTGAACTCGTTATCTTTGATTTGATTTATTCCTTAATATTCACATGTGACTTCAATTACAGATTGTCACAACTGATATTTCATAACGTCATTAGCTTAAGCATCCGTTACTGACAGTTATCGTTTAGTCTAGTTTCAATACAAGGACAAACTAAGTTTCAATCAAATGGCCATCAATCTCATCATGGTTTATACAATATTGCAAATTTTAAGGCATGCCTTCCATAGTATGCAAACGGGTTTATTTGCTAAGATATTGACTAATTCCAGTCTTCGAAAAAGCTCCGGCGATGAAGTGAACTGAAAATTATACGTACCTATCAGAGGAACAAATTCTGAAGTTGCCGGCATACTTTCAGCTATTAATAACATAAACACTGAAAAGGCTAATAACACAGTTATACCGAGAGTTATTTTTTCACCCGAATCTGGTGGTAACCAAAACCCCAACAAACTTAAAATAGTTAACCACAAACACGGAAAAATAATATTAAACAAGTAATATAAAGTTTTTCTACGGATAATGATAGTAAATCGCACATCAGGGTATGGTTCTTTACAACAGGCATAGTACACTTCATGGCGTACCACTTTCACATCAATAAGTTCCCATTCACCACTATATACATAATTCGCTAAATCAACACGATCAGATCGATTCACAATGTCTACCTGAAATCCATCGTATGTCCACGATCCGAATTTTAATTCACACCGCTGATCGTCAAAAGGAAAGTATGTAATATCTATTTTACATGAACTCCTGAATTTCGCTGGTGGTGCCCAAAACACATTACCATCATACGACACCATAGCTTTGCTTTTCATATAACCCGTTGTAAAATCATCAGCACTGAAATAAAGAACACGTGGTAACAAAGTCCAAACAAGATTGAGCTTTATCAAAAATGGGAGACACTATGTTATAGGCTAAAGCTTAAAAGATCTTAAAATTGCGAGGCACATGCCAATAGCTATCATGAACCATTCAAGGCAAAAATGGCATGCTTTCCGAGGAGAAAGATAGCGCTATCCTACCTGTTATAAAGCACAATATCCGGTAACCAAATTTTCTCACAAGGAATACGTAACACATTTAAACCATTATAATCTTCTGGATTCCACAATAATCTTTCATCCTGCCATTCCTATAATATATTATTTCATATAATTAATAGTTTTATAAATATAATACACTTTTCTATATTATTATAGATGCATTCATTCCATTAAACTTTTACCTGATTTACATGAAACTTATCTGGATGTTCAACATTCATATTGGTACTCATGTTTAACAATACGGAACAATTTGTCCACAGTCGCTTCAACATTTGCTTTCCAAAATGAGATAATTTTCATTTCTCTCTGACGATTGTTTTAAATCTACAGGAGTAGAAATGGCTATGTTTATTAACAAGTATTGCATGTCGTAATCAGTTACTATCAGACGATTGTTTAAGTAACATTCAATATATTATTACATGTGATATTTTTATAAAGTCGTTTGTTGAAATTTTAACAGGCTATATAAGACAAATAATATTAGTTATTTATTTTACTATCTATGGTCCATCGACTAGTCGATAATGATTTAATGGAATGATGGTTGTAAATTATCCAGACGATGTTCTTGTATTCACTCACTATCTTGATAAGTTGTAACCTTGGGGCAAACAACATCACAAATTCTCGTTTTATAATGAAAAAAGGAAGAAGTAATCAGTACAATTTTAATTTGAACGAGGAATCGAACATGTTCAACGGTTTTTCTCGATAATACTGTCTTAGTGTTATCATTTTAAATACCTTCAAACACTCGCCAAATTTCTACATTATAATCTTATCCAAAGTATTTCTACACCAGTCTTTATCTACACCACTGTTCAAAAGTTTGAAAATTAGCCGAAAAGACAAATCAAATTATTGGAATCCATACAGAATATCAGAAAAAGACCGGAATCTTGCCAATTCTGGAATTCCTCTCTCTCATCAGACATCTAAAATTGTTTTGATTTATCAAACTTCGACAGTGTTATGACTTGTTCACTTCAAATTATCCCAATTTATCACTGTAAGTTCAAATAGAACATGAACCTAGAAGCTGTTAGATTTTAAATAGTACCATAAACCACTAACCTAGTCTGAGTTAAATCATTTTGTCTTCGGTAATCCCTGAATTTATCAAGGCAACGGTACATCATATTTTGATCAGTGGTAACATGTCATAACTCAGAATAAAAGACATTTTGACTATGACTTGACTTTGATAATACGTACATGTTTATTGTTTTACAATGTTATTTAGACTATTCTATTCTGTTAGTGTAAATCTAATAGTATTTAAAAGTTTACTTATAATAACACTATAGCTTAGCATTTTAATTGGAAATTAGGATACGGACTATACTGGCATTTCCTGGATACTTCGCTGGATCATAGAGTAGACACAGGGCGACAAGAAAATACCAATTCTACACGACATTTCTAGATACATATAAATATTAGAGTGGAAGGTAAATAATGTGTAGACATAATAAGAAATGTAATATGACTATTCTATAGACTTGATGATACTCCAGACCTACTTAACCATATAGATTTATTATATTTATTGATGGTTTCTTGTTGACCACAGACTTTAACTGTCTGATTAGATTATTGCTTTCTGCTGTCAGATTTCAAATAAGGACTCACTGAAATCTTTTCACATTATAACAATTGGTGTTATTTGTATAAATTCCAATTTCCCGTGAAGATGTTGAAATTGGCACTTTGTTTAAAATAGACATCCTGTCATACATAAGGTAACATATTCACGTGACAATGTGTGTTTTTTACAATACAATGTAAAATTTCAAAGGATGTTGTGAACTTTTATGTACTTTTTCACCAGACCAGAACATTTTGTTTCAATATAAATGTTCTAATTTAACTTACACTGAACTAAAAAATGAACACAAATGTGTTCTTTGCTTTTTGTTTAAAAATATTTAGAAATAGGTTACATAATACATATATAGAAAATACTTATTTATTTAATGCAAAGATAAGATTATTTCAGATGGCGAGTGTTGAATGGTGGTCAAATCGTTTGCTATACCAAAAAACATCATTTGATGAAACTGACAATTTGTTTCAAAATATGTATGACGAACATTTGAAATTGTATCTACTGGAAGCAATATATATATATATTATATGCGTATAAAGTTTAGTATAATCAAACTGCCTCTATTTCTTTGAGTTTAACGAGTTCCCTCTAATTTACAGCAATAAATAAATATTTGTTTCTTGAAATAATGCCATCATCAAAGTTGTCCCAGACCTCATCAATATACATATATTTTTAAAAGAAAAATACTTAGATATCGTCAATCTTTTTATGACAGCTACATGATGACAAGACGAAAAGAACAATAGTTATATCTCACGTCTCTCAACGTTATTCAAATACTTCAGGGTAACAACCATTTCCAAAAGTCCTGATCTCAACAATAAGCAGAGTTATACCATGATGACGTTGCATCAAACCCGGAAGAAGACATTGGTCTCGACTATGTCCACAATTTTAAATCAAGATATTTGATACTAATATATACTTTTTAACAGACATAACTCTATTAATTTAACATCAGATAATCTGTGACCTCGTCATTTGACATATAAATTTCAAGTTCCATCAAGATTGGATGCCAATTATAGTCACAGTTGTGTTCATAAATCTTCTAAATTCTTTATAGAAAAGAAATTGGGTTCAATTCAATGAAAAAGAGGGCTATACTTCATATTTTTTTAAAGACTGTTTGACAGTGTTGTTTTTGTAACTGTGACATATCTAGAAAATACGTCACTTTCGAGGAGTGAAGTAGGCCGTAGTAAAGTTTGTTGATACAAATTCACAGACTACTTGACATCCTCAATCACTTGGTTGTCTACTACCATAATAGCTGATTGAATTTCCTTTTACTTATAACGATTTACATTGTTATATAACCAACTCAGAATGGTCTTCAATTTCCATCGTGTCATAAAAAGGCTATCATTCTTGCTAGCTTGTCTTGGCTAAGCAGACCATAATGCGTGGGAAATCAAGAACAATGTCCATCAAAACGTCGAGAAGTGAGACAATCAACTTTGGTAATATAATGAATCTTGTAACATCGAGAAGAAGAAGACAAGACTGGACCTTAGGCAGACATTTTAGATAACAATGCCAAGAATTGAAATAAAGATTAGTGTTTTGATATACAAGGCATAAGACAATACATAACCTGTCGTTTTCTCTTCAACATAACTATTGATCTTCGTTTACAGTCTTCATTGAATCCAACTTCTCAACTTTTTTATCGAGATGAAATGTGAAGAGAATCTGGCCAATTCTATTATACATATATTTGGAGGCGAGATTAAAATGTCATTGAGATTAAGGCTTGAGAAGTTATCGAAATAGAATCAGAATAAAGAGTTAAATCAATTTAGAGTATCAGTAATTAAATTCATCAACCAGTAACACTAATGTGTTGTTTAGATGTTTTTACGTTGTTTTCCCTTGTAACCTTTTGAACTACAATTAGCTATGAGTCCTCAATATTACATATTATATTCAGAAATCAAAATTTGGAACCACTTTACTTTACTTGCCATTTTGCAATTAAATGTATATCAAATTCCTCTTTTGTCATACTAGTTTTTTTAAAAAAAGAATTAAATGAAAAGTAATTTAATACATATCAGAAGTAAACAAAACTAACGTGAAAACTAAAATTGTTTTCTGTGGTCGGATCTGCAATGAATATTTAGTCGGTTTGTCCGACTCTTTCCAATATTGATAATCCTCAAGGAAGTACATTCCATAATTTATAAGATGGTACTTAATGCATGAAATGTTCTTGTAGACTTGGTATCATACGGATTCTATACTCTATACTTTTATAATCCGAGCCACGAGATACACATTTTTGTCGAGTTTTTCAAGTACATTTGCTATAACACGCAGTGTTAAGTAAGGTTTCTTTCCCATGCTTACTTAAAAAATGCTTCAATTATTTCTGTATATCCAAGGGCGTCGGCATTTAACTTTCGGATTGTTACACCTGGTGTCTTTATTAGTCATGGTGGTCACCGGGTCTGAAAAAGGGAGTAGTTGTTCCGGTAGGGTCTCTGTATGCTACAGGATGTGCCCAAATTGAAAAGGTGTGTATAACACCCCCTTCGCTTTGCCTTCATAAAGTCATTTAGAAACATAAAATTAGGACTTTAAGCCCTATTTCATTTTCAAATTCAGTGCGATTTCAGATGGAGTTCACCTATCTATTTGACAACCGCAAAAAAATTGAAATTCTTGTTGTATACTGTGAAAAACAGAAAACCTTCAATGGTTGTTTTCTGAATTACGGACTATACAGCAGTAAAACGGTTAAACCATATTTCTGTTCATTGTACATTTAAGACTCTCATTTCATATTGACAGAAGTTAATGGAATATCTTCAAGACAATTGACCAAAACTTAACCCGATCTGTGATAATTTACTAGCAATGATTTTTCTACTCGGGCTATATTCTATAATCATGTTATCCAATTCCTCCACATAAAGTAGTCGGTCGTATTATCTATTTTATTGATAGTTTATTATTCGCTCTATTAATGAAGCTTGTGGAGAGAATGTTAGAATTCATAAGAATATTTGTAAGGATGCAGTGAAGAATTCATAACGATCAATTACTAACAGTTTTATTTAATCTTTTGCCTTGCAGTGGTCTGATACAGACTGCAAACCATTGTGTCATACGCACTGAAATTGAAAATTGTTGTTAATATCATTTGCTCGAAGCTTTTATAACCAATATTGGTCATTTGATTTTTTATGACTAAAATTCCTGTTAAATTCGAATTCAAATTAGTATTTACCAGATTCTACTGGAACTGAGGAAATGGTTTCTAATGCAACATCATAACCAAGAGCGAAACCTTCAGGGGGTTATGATCTAACCCATTTGGAACTTAACTTCAGTTGTCAGGCAAATATCAAGATTGAGAAATTCTAAATGAAATAAATATCCGCTCAATAGAAAATTTCGTCACTGTTGATGGATGAAAAAGTGTGTTATTTTCTATTTCTGGGTATTGGTCAATGGTAGTGTTTTTCAAGGGACAAAGAGATATGATGCCATCGACAAAATGCAAATGTCATAACCTTTTATTGTTCTCTTTCTTGTATCTAAGAAATGATTTACAATGTTCATATAATTTAAATTTCAACACCAACATAATATATTCTTTTGTTAATAGCAGTTCACAGAGACAGTGACATTTAGAAAAACACACTGAAAATATGCATTCATCAGCCAAAATGTTCAGCTGTATGATTTTCATATTTAACCCAACTGAAAAAGTGACGAGCTCGTTTTTGTCTGGCATTTTCTCTTTTGTTTTTGTTGCAAAATTTGGAAAGGTTAATATATCTTTAAGAATTTATATAAAATCTATTTTTTGCTTTCTTTAAGAGTTATATAAACTGCTCACTTTAGAAAAGGAGATATGATGTGATGTTATATTGTTACAAGGTAAGATGCAAGATTTTCTAGTAGTGTTATTATTTCAACTACACAATGGTAACTTCGACAAAAGTTTTTATTGAGAGCTCTATATTCATATCATTTTAATATATTTATTTCTCACCAATAGGACTCTGCCAGTGGCAAAGAGTGTCGATCCATATACTCATATTGGCTTCACCCACGTCCATCGGTCCGTCCGTCCCTTGATCGATCAGTCCTTCCGTACACACTCTAGAAGGAACAATTCTTGACGGATTTAGACAAAACTTGGTGTGAGTGTTTGTAATCAGAAAAAATATTAAGTATGAATTATTGCCCTCGTTCTTGTAAGCTAGTTAACACTTTAGACGGCGCACGTTCTTGAAAACGATTTCAATTTTTAGCACGTAAACACTCTAAACAGCACAATTCTTGACTGGTTTTGACGAATTTGCTGTGAGTGTTTGTAATCGTGAACCCATTAAAAATTTTAAAAAATTAAATTTTTTATATGAGTTCTCATTAAGACAATGGGTGCAATTCTTGCCGGATTTCGACAAAACTTGGTAATATTGTTCAAGAAGTGTATGTCTGAAGGTTGAATATTTCATACTGGTAATTGTTACTGTACTGCCAAATATTTTCTTCAAAATCAAAGCAGCTAGTGGGTGTAGGCTATATTACCTCGCCTGACAAGCAATCTTCATAAATTGCAGAAACTACTAAAATATCAAAATATTTACCTGTTCTAACCAAACATTGATCGTTAAAACTTGATTAACCTCATCCTAAAAAAGAAAAGAAAATAATAAATATTTTAATGCTAACAATGTAGCACTGGTTTGGAATATGACCAAGAAATCGAATAACTTTCTATAGGAATGATTTCACTTGGCAATTCCTGCTTATTAATATTCGACTGTTTCTCATATAAAGGTCATATGGAAATGAGTACTTCAAAATCAGCAGTATAACTAATCATACATGCATAACTGGTAAGAGGCGCTGGGAATTAAAGTTTTTACTAGAGACTTGAACAATGTATGATAATGGTTCACCATTATCCTAAAAGAAGATAGTTTTTGTCTGTTTTAAATGATTGGTGAATAAGCGAGATGTTTTATGAGAAATCAGGCCCTTGGCTACAATATATCAGATGAAATTTGGAACTATAGAAAAGAAGTAACATGTTACTAGAAATTGTCGATGATTTTGCTGGTGGACAACACTGTCCCAAAAGTTTCAACCTAATAGCCTCTCTCTCTCTCTTCAAATTCTGTATGTCTACTTTAACTTAGAATCCAAAATAGGAAATCAATGAGATGGACTAATTGCATATCAACAAAAATATAAATTTCATTCTTTTAGCCTATACTAAATAAATCAATATTTTTAAGACTGATCTTTTGATCAATATTTACTACTTATTTTGATAATTAATTATTATTGCTTTTTGAAAGAATTAAAAATTAAAGCTGTGTTCGCTTGATTATATCTAAATGTCGGCCCTCAAATGATTTTATCATATCGTTAATTAAACAGTATCACGTTTTACCATGCCATCTGCAAGTGTTTACTTTATTGTTTACTTTATATGATGTTACGAACTCTGTTGGAAAGAAATTGCATATTTTCAAATATTGGATTCTACATAGTATGTTTTTGGAAATATGAAAACTTGACTATATCCTCACATAAAAGCGAGTTTGAAAGGCAAAAGAACCCAGTCAATGTCAAATAAATTGGTTTGAATGATCTGAAAGTCCTCATCCAATTTTCATCACAAGTCATTTTACATTCCCCTTTATTTTTAACTTGTGTAATAAGTTGGATTACTGTCATAAAGACGAATCTTTTCACTTCATAAAAAACACTTAAGTTTGAAGAATGGTTAAAATAAAATTATTAGTCTAGAAGAAGTGAAAAGAGTGTCAGAGTAAAATATAATAAAGCCATGTTCATCTTACTATGATACATTTCGAGATGTCATAAGTTACATGAAATGCCGATATTTCTTTGCATTAAAATAGATTATGCCGCACGAAGACGTGTTATTGAGATATGTAACCAGCAAAAGAACAAACAAATTAAATTCGTCGCACGTTGAGGGCTGTGCAATATGAAAATCAAACTAACATCACTAGAATGGATCGATTAAAGTGAGGTCTACTGTCGATTCATTCTTAGCATCTAAATCGATCCAATGACAACATTTTAACATTATCAACTATCAAATTATCAACGTTCAAATCGTTGATGGCAGATACCGACCACCTTAGGTGCCATATACAATGCAAGATATGTTTGAATGTTTACCATGAGCAACAAGTGGCAACTGTGATTTTTTAGTCATGTGTGCTCTCGGTTTACTATATCGAGCCATCGACACGATTCTTCCGGATGCTACTAACCGCTCTTACTTTCAGGTTCTATCAAGGACGTTTGACTTTAACCATAGATAAATACAGTGGCACATTTAACACATATTTTTTGAAAAATCCTGTAAGTTTAAGGCACACGGACAATCTATGGCAGTTTTAAAGTTGTGTAAGGCGCTAGATTAGTCTCTGGCAGTTTAAAAGTTGTGTAAGGCACTAGGCCAGTCTCTGGCAGTTTAAAAGTTGTGTAAGGCACTAGGCCGATCTCTAGCAGTTTAAAGGTTGTGTAAGGTAGTAGGCCAGTCTCTGGCAGTTTAAAAGTTGTGTAAAGCACTAGGCCGGTCTCTGGCAGTTTAAAAGTTGTGTAAGGCACTAGATCAGTCTCTGGCAGTTTAAAAGTTATGTAAGGTACTAGGCCGGTCTCTGGCAGTTTAAAGGTTGTGTAAGGCACTAGATCAGTCTCTGGCAGTTTAAAAGTTGTGTAAGGTACTAGATCAGTCTCTGGCAGTTTAAAGGTTGTGTAAGGCACTAGATCAGTCTCTGGCAGTTTAAAAGTTGTGTAAGGCACTAGATCAGTCTCTGGCAGTTTAAAAGTTGTGTAAGGCACTAGATCAGTCTCTGGCAGTTTAAAAGTTGTGTAAGGCACTAGATCAGTCTCTGGCAGTTTAAAAGTTGTGTAAGGCACTAGATCAGTCTCTGGCAGTTTAAAAGTTGTGTAAGGCACTAGATCAGTCTCTGGCAGTTTAAAAGTTGTGTAAGGCACTAGATCAGTCTCTGGCAGTTTAAAAGTTGTGTAAGGCACTAGATCAGTCTCTGGCAGTTTAAAGGTTGTGTAAGGCACTAGATCAGTCTCTGGCAGTTTAAAAGTTGTGTAAGGCACTAGATCAGTCTCTGGCAGTTTAAAAGTTGTGTAAGGCACTAGATCAGTCTCTGGCAGTTTAAAAGTTGTGTAAGGTACTAGATCAGTCTCTGGCAGTTTAAAGGTTGTGTAAGGCACTAGATCAGTCTCTGGCAGTTTAAAAGTTGTGTAAGGCACTAGATCAGTCTCTGGCAGTTTAAAAGTTGTGTAAGGTACTAGGCCGGTCTCTGGCAGTTTAAAGGTTGTGTAAGGCACTAGATCAGTCTCTGGCAGTTTAAAAGTTGTGTAAGGTACTAGATCAGTCTCTGGCAGTTTAAAGGTTGTGTAAGGCACTAGATCAGTCTCTGGCAGTTTAAAAGTTGTGTAAGGCACTAGATCAGTCTCTGGCAGTTTAAAAATTGTGTAAGGCACTAGATCAGTCTCTGGCAGTTTAAAAGTTGTGTAAGGTACTAGGCCGGTCTCTGGCAGTTTAAAGGTTGTGTAAGGCGCTAGATCAGTCTCTGGCAGTTTAAAAGTTGTGTAAGGCACTAGATTAGTCTCTGGCAGTTTAAAAGTTGTGTAAGGCACTAGGCCAGTCTCTGGCAGTTTAAAAGTTGTGTAAGGCACTAGGCCGATCTCTAGCAGTTTAAAGGTTGTGTAAGGTAGTAGGCCAGTCTCTGGCAGTTTAAAAGTTGTGTAAAGAACTAGGCCGGTCTCTGGCAGTTTAAAAGTTGTGTAAGGCACTAGATTAGTCTCTGGCAGTTTAAAAGTTGTGTAAGGCACTAGGCCAGTCTCTGGCAGTTTAAAAGTTGTGTAAGGCACTAGGCCGATCTCTAGCAGTTTAAAGGTTGTGTAAGGTATTTAAGTAAATCGACTAATCTCTGGTATTAGATGCGTGTCAGTATTCCACTAAACATCATTCCTGTCTAATAATAATCTTGTCAAGTTCAAAGTAACAAAAACAACGGTCTGAATTTGTCTTGAATTATTTATTACTGCCAATTATATGCTATTAGTGCTTAAAATTATAACTTACAATTCTTAAATTTGTATATTCTTCATTAAACACAACTTCTTTAGAGAGTAGTAGTAAAAATGTGTTTTTAAACATGTGCACGAGATTAAGTCGAGCTGATATTGGAGCAGAATAATCCAAGTCCATTAAGCTGAGCCAAGCAGATTCCCATTTCAATTTGTTTGATTGCGAGGAGATAAAACATGTTATAAAAAGCAATTTCTGTATATCTTTAAAATCAGGATTAATTTTTGCAGACAGTATTAAAGATCTATTTCATCCCGATTCAACAACCTCTTGGATTATGTTTTAATGCACTCTAAGCAATCGGCTCTTTATTTTTTGAAAAGAAAAATCAAAATGAAGTTTTCTATTGTTGCAGACTTTCTTTGTATATGATATGTGTCAAATCCCAAAAATCGATTGCACGATTATATTCTCAAAAACATCTTTAATTCATCTAACATCTTAGTAAAAAAATAGATTAAAAATACTTCTTCTATCATGAGTCATAGTAATATTGTCATTTAACTATCAGAGCCGAAAGGATCCAATATCCGTATAAAAAAAATTCTGGTCCATAAGAACTCGAGTGGCTTAGCAAGATGGACTGATGCGTCTTTGCCATTCAAACAGAACAATACACTGTCCTGGACCCTGTCCTGCGAGCTAGTTACGTTAAAAGTAATTCTTTTAAAATCACATTTTGACAAAGGACGAGTTACATTTATTTGTATGGTTCCGATTGGATGGTTTTCACTTGTCAAAAGGTTCTCTGAAAGATAACCACAAAAAACACTATTTCGTTCAGCATTTTTGTGTAAAAAGCAAATAATTGCCGACTCAATAATGCCTCAAAGGTATATACGTTATCATGAATTCCCATTAATAATTTATTAGAGGTTATTGTTCATTTTCAGTTTAATATTGATACCTTGTCGGTTTGATGCCGATATAAAACTATAATATCGAATTTATTAAAATTCTGCCTTTACAACAACAACGATTTCAGCTTAAGGGTTTAAATGTTTGCGTAGGGAGCCAAGCAATTGCGTTGGTGTAATAAGTATACAGTCAAGTAACCTAATTTCGTGGAAACCTATTATTCGTGGATTTCCGGAAAGGATTAATAATTTACATGAGCGACCTTGCGCGACCTCTGCATTAGTTTGTTTTGATAAACATGGGTTTTCTCTACAATATCTGCTAGTAGAACGCATTCAGTAGTTTCAAGCAAGGTAAAATGTATTAATCTATACTTTGACAAATACAAAATGGCGGATTTCAGTTATTACCAAACGTCACCATTTTTTATCGGCCGAATTTCCTTATAATCTCAAGCGGTAATCGGAATTCCAAGTGTCGTCTGCTAGAATGTAGTCCAACGAATGAAGTCACGTGATCAACTAGCGGATTCTGTGTCAGCAGAAAATTTCTATGGAACACAAAGTGGACCATTTTCTTATGTTGTTTCAGTGACTTTTAGCAATAAATCACGCTACGTATCTTATTTTGTCAGCCACTATTTTTTTTTTTAAATCGTGGTTCTTTCAAGGA